CAAGCCCGGATGCCACCCTCGTCCACGTCCTCCAGCATTGGAGTCCCTGTGCCAAGACCTTACAGCTTGTCACCCCTTATCAGGTGTCCCCTGCCCTAGGCCCCAGGGTCCTGCCAACACACGGGAGTGGGCACCTGGTTGAGGGCTTCTCTAGGTGTAAGGGAAGGAGACACAAGCCCACACTGGGGTCTGGAGGACCCTCCCCCATTACTGGAGACTGGGCAGAGCGAGGGTAGAGGACCGTGATGGCAGGGGGTGGAGATGGGTGGTACTCACTCTCTCCAGGGACATAATCCTGGCTTTCCCGAAGAACATGCTTGGTGAGGCAGGGGACGAGGGCCACAGTGGCTCCGTCTGGGACCTGGTAACCACAGCTGGTGACCCCTCCAGCAGCTGTACCCCACCACAGCCCTCCCCCAGCTCCCACCCCTCCCACCTTGTAATGCTGCAGGGTGTTCAGGCGCCTCCACAGACCCTGCACCTCAGAAGTCACGTCCTCGTCAGAAAGAATGAGATGCCCAGCCACCCCAGACCGCCATTCTGCAAGGACAAAGGGCTTTCACAACACCCTCCCTGCAGTGGAACCCTCCTCCACAGGGACACCAGCCCCTCCATCAGGGGCAGCCTCACCCAGTTTCTCCAAAGACCAGAAATAGGGGCCCCTCACCAGGTGAGAGGTCAACCCTGCAGAGGTATTCCACTGCTCCCACTCCCAACATCCCACCTCCCCCGGGTGATAAGCAAACCCCGCAGAGCTAGTCTAGGGCCAGCCTTGCCCCGGGGGCCTCCAGGCCAACCTTCCCTTGCCACCCTCACCAACATCCAGGGTGCGGGGATCTGGCCGCTGGGCAAGAGGCACTCCTTTATAAAGCTGGTCCAGCATCTTCTCCTTGGCCTGGGAGATGGTGTCACAGTCCAGGACCTTCACGGGGACACCCTGGGCTTCTCCTGCTCCAGGGCCCACAGCCAACAGAGCATTCAAGGTCTATACAGGACACGTGGGAGCAGTCAGGGCTCGCGCCATACGTGGGATGAACAAGACGCAAGACCAAGGCCAACCCATGAGAAAGTCACTGCCTCCGACCTCCAAGCACCAAACAGTCCCTCATTTTGTCTTTCCTCTTGCCTGCCTCCCCAGGAACAGGGGCTCCCTCCGCTCTGGCGCCAGCCCCCAGCACAGTGCACTAGTAAGCGTCTGTGGGGTGAGTGGCAGAGGAAACGAGGGAGCACAAGTCCCTGTGAATTCTGATCCCCAGGATCGTTGCTCAGCTGGTCAGACTGAGACACCTGAGGAAGCCCGTGTAAGCAGAGTCCCCACCAGCCAGAGGAGCAGAGCCTGAGGGAGACTTTCCCAAAGGAACTCCACGTGGGCCACTAAAGGGAAAGTGAATCCAGTGGGAAGCAATGGGCAGGTCTGCCAGGGTGACTCCTGGCCTGGCGAGCATAACCACAGCCCTGGCAGGACACGTGGTCAGGCAAACACTCAGGCTCTGGCACAGCAAAGACTTGGACTGGTTCCTGGCAGGGCTGGCTACTCCCCCGACCCTGGCAGTGGCCACCCTGACCCCATCCCAACCCTGGGACCCAAGATCTGGCTCTCAAGCCTCTACCCAGCAGACAGCCAGAAGTCAGGCTGGCTCAAACCAGACACAGACACCCGCACAGTCACATGTGGTCTCCCTCCTCACCCTCATGCATTCACACACGCTCCCCCCACCTCACCAGGGGACGGTACTCCACGTCCTCTCGGAGCAGCCGGTTGTCATTCAGGGTGTATTTGGCTTTGCCAGTCACACTGTCCACCGGGCCCTTGTCCACTTGATGCTTAATTCCACGGAAAAGCATGTACAGAGGCTCTCCTACCGAGTCCTGAGGGAGCGGCAGGCAATTAGGGCCCCTGGGGCAGATGACAAGCCTGGGAAGGAGGTGCTGGGGAAGGGGACAGGATGTAGGGTACAGAAGGCTTAAGGTGACCGAGGACATGCTGGGCAGGGGTGCACAAGCTGAGTGGTTTAGAGTCCCGACTCCCTGGAGGGGTATCCCATCCGCCTCTGCCTCCCTCACCCTCACAAAAGTGTAGAGGCAGATGGACATCCAGTTGGTGAGCAGCTTCTCCACCACGGTCTCTGTCCTGGGATGACACGAAAGAGGAGGGGCGGAGTCAGCAGGTAGGGACACAGGCCCAGAGGGCCTGACACAGCTCTGGGCTCCAGCCATCCTCAGCTGCCTGGCCCCCCGTTGCTCCCGACGGGAACACAGACCTGCGCAGCATCAGCTTGGGGTTCTTGGCCACGTACTGGGCCACCAGGTCACTGAGCAGGGTGCGCAGGATGTCGGTGAAGTACTCAAGCTTCCCATGCAGCGCCACGGTGAGCAGAGATGCCACATAGGCGCGGTCCCGAGCTGAGAAGGTGCGCTGGCTCTCCAGGGTATGGATGAACTGGTGCCAGGGAGAGGGGGCGAGCGGGCAGATTCAGAACTGGAAGGACTGAGAAGGGACGGGGCTGGAGGGTAAGGGGACCCCCACCCCCACCCCAGGAGGGTCCAGATGGGGGTGGGGCAGGCACCTTGGTCAGGAAGAGCTTGCTGTTGAGCAGGTTGGAGAGCTGCCCCAGCCCTTGCTCCACAGTGGGTCGCCTGCTCTCAGGCACACCCAGGTCCCGGTGCAAGGGTGACTCCTGGTGCCCAGGGAAGAAGACCCTCTCAGCATACACCTTATAGTCGAGGAAAGGGATGCCACTGCCCAGAAGGTCACTGGTAAGATCGGTCATCTCAGTCATAAGGTCTGTTGAGCAGAAGAGGCCGGGTTTGGGCGCAGACCGCAGGTGCAGGGAGCAGGCAGAGTCCCGAGCGCGGGGCTGCTGCAGTCTCACCCGTGAATTCCTTCTTGCAGCGGTCCCGCACGCTGCTCTCCAGATTCTCCAGCTGGATCTGCACCTTCTTATAGTCCCTCAGGGCCTGCTTGCTCTTCCTCCTGCTCAGCACCAAGGTCGGGACTGGGAAGGCTGGAACCCTTGCTGGGTCCCACCGAGTCCGGCCTCGGCCAGCATGGTTTCACCCAGCCAAGCCAGGGCCTGGCCAGAAGAATTTAGCCTGTCCCACCCCAGGCAAGTCACATCCGCCCAGGGATCAGCAAACTGTAATAGGATCAACTCTGGCCCCTGGCCTGTTCTTGTAAATAAAGATTTAGAATGCGGCCATTGCTCGCGTGTTTGTACAGTCTGCGGCTGCTGCACTGTAATGGCGGAGCTGAGCTGCTGCCCCTGAGACCGTCTGGCCCACAAAGCTGAAAATAGTTACTCTCTAGCCCTTCACAGGAAGTGTGTGCTGACCCTTGGTCAAGCTTGTCCCTTCCCAATCCAACCACACCCTGCGGCCCACCCTGACCTGACCACATCTGGTGGCACCCACCTGTACATGAGGACAATGATGATGACACCCAGAGCCAGAAGAGAGGTGCCCACCCCCAAGCCCACCTGGGCTGCCATGGGGAAAGGCAAGGGGCTCTCGCCATCATACTGTACGTGGCCCAGGGAGAAGCGCAAGTTCCCCATCTGCACCTGCACAGGAAGCCGCCTGTGAGCACGGGGTCAGCACATGCCCGATGCCTGGCCTGGCCCAGGGCCCACCCACTGACCGTGAATTCAGGCAAAGCGTCCGGTGCCTCACGGAGGGCGTGGTGCCGGGGCAGGGGCTGCTCCACTGGGGGCTCGCAGTACAGGTGGTGCCTGGTCAGTGTCTTCACCACGCAGGGGCCGTCCCCTATCATGGCCACCACCTCCTCCTTGGACATTGCAAGGTCCAGATTTTCCCCCTAGAACACAGGGTAACTGATTGATTACTCAGAACTCTTCCCTAAGGGGAGGAGCTGGTGGTCACTCAGATCCTACCTTCCCAAATGTGGGCAGGATGGTCCTGAGACCCACCTCCAGGAGCAAGGCTGACATCACCTTAGCACCTCTGGCCCTGCTCTGCATGCAGGGGACAGTCCCGGGGATGTCTTCCAAGCTGCCCTCGATCTTTCTCTGTCCCTCTCTATTCTTCTTCAAGTCTTAACTTGTCTATGCGTAAAAGCCTAGAGAATTTAAAGCTGTCCCCAAATCCTGCCCAGTGACCTAACAAAGGGGAGCCCTTGCTGTGTCTGCTGGCCCCCCAGGTGGGTGACGATGGGTTGCCTACTCACAGCCTTTAGGAGTGCCCACCTACTGCCTGTGTCAGAACACACGCCGCCAAGTGCATATCCACGTGAGACAGGTGCCAAATGCACATCAGCCCAGGTGTCTGTGTACCACACCGCCCCACCACCGTGTGTCAAGCCGCTTACATACTGTCATTCAGACACCTGCCATGGACTGTGCTAGGCCACAGGACTCAAGCCCCTGCCAGGTGAGTCAGGAAAGGCACCTACCACCAACCCTGTCAGCACTCGCCACGTCCATCAACCGGCCCTGGCTCTGCTGTCACACCCCCTAACCACACACGGCAGTACAACTTGGCAAAGGGAAGGATTTGGGGGGCCCCTGTGTCCCAGTAGAAGCAGTACCTCCACAGAGAGCACACTCCCAGGCTTGTGCCGGAACGGCGCAGTGGGGTCCTCGGGGTTGAGGGGCTGCAGAGTGGGGTCAGCTTCATAGGAGAAGGGTGTGGGGTTCAGTGTGGCAAAGTCAAAGACCAGGTTGTCAAGAATAAATTCCACACGGACCCAGGGGTCCTCAGGCAGGCCTGGGAGGGCCGGTGTGCGGCACGTGATGAGCTGGGAGGAGTTCACGTGGCAGAGCTCCTCAAACTAGGGCAGGGGGAGGACAGGGAGGGTCAGCAAAGGGGTGCGTAGAAGGGGTCCAGCAAAGACAGGGACATGGCCTCCTTTGGTACCCGCCACCCATGGCTGTTGTCCACAGTATGGGTGAAAGATGAGGTGAGCGACAGCCAGCCCAGTGAAGGCAGAGGGTACCCATGGGGGTCCTACATGAAGGCCACCACAGGAGGCTCCGGGGGAGCATGCTGTCTCCGGGATCACACGGCGCCTCCGCGCAAGCCCCTGGCCCGGCCATGGTGCTCCTAGGGCCACAGTCACTCGGATCCTTGGTGTCTGTACCACATCCAGATTCTGGCCACGGACCCGTATCTCACGTCCTCCACTGGAACAGAATCCATGAGCTGCTTATGATGTTTGTGAACCAAGATTTAGGGCACAGCCCAGTCCCTCACGTTAGCTCAGCCCCAGGCTGAAGCTGCATGGCCCTCCCCTACCAACAGCATGGGAATAGAAATCCCCACATAGAGGCTACAACCCCCCATGTCCTGGAGCTGCAAAGACCTCCCCACTGCATGCCCCGCAGCCATGCCCTTGGCCCAGCACCTGAGGAAGCTCTTGGTGGGGCCAGCAGAGGTGACATTGGGGTCTGATGTGTACTCGAACTGGCTGTGCTGAAGTCTCCGCTCGGTGGCCCCAAACCACACAGCCACGGGAAGTGTGGCGGGTGTCGGGTGTGGGCTGGTCTCACACCGCAGCTGCTCTGCCTGCTGCTCCAGCAGCCTAGGGAAGGGAGGTCAGAGGGGCAGGTGGGCCAGGCCGCCCTGGAGGGGACACCGGAAGGGGAAAGCGGTGATTCCAGAACACGGGACCCACTCAGGCCTCAGCTCACTGCCCTTCAGCACTGACTGCGGTCTCACACGTGACGCTAGAGGCTGCACTCCCACACAGCCCCAGCTTTAAGAGGGTCTGGCCGCTTTCTGACGCAGCCGACTTGGCCTTCCCTGTCTGCTCTCCCTGGCATCCCACCCTCCGTCTTCTCCCTAGAGCCCATGGATCTCTGCAGAATGAGGAAGAGGCCCTCACAAGTGACAAGGCTGGTCTCCAACCACCACTCGGATGTCTTCTAGCCGCCCAGTCAGGAGCTTGGAGCCGTGCAGGGTGAGACTGGTGCCCCCAGCTCTGGGGCCTCGGGCCGGGAAGATAGAATGTACTTTCGGGTCCTGTGGGAAGGGGATAGGGAGGAACAGACAGGCATCAGGCCAGAAACAGATGCAGGGGAAGCTGGAGGCACACACGAAGGCCCCAGGGTGGGGAGCCCCAAGAAGGTGAAACCAGGTGAGCTAGAGAGAGCCCCCTGACGGGGTAGCCCATCGGCAGCTGAGGGGGACTCAGCAGTCAGGTACCTGGTAGGCAAAGTCGTGCTCTGAGACACCGCGTCCTCTTCCTGGCACCTCCACTGTCACAGAGCCTGCCACCTCCTCCCTGCTGGCCTTAGTGATACACACGAGGCTGTGGGCAGAGGGCAAGCTGGGGTGCCAGGTCTTACTGAGGGCCCCTCCAAATGACCTGGCTGCCCTTCCCTGCCCCGCTACATCACGTGGTCTCCCTGCTTCCGAGATCGACAGAGATCCTCTCGCTTCAGAGGAATTCCTTATTGCAAACCAGAAGGTTTTAGCATCTGAGAATTAATACTCGTGGTTCAATCATTCAAGTGCCCCTTGACAAGGAGGAATTTCTCTGCAGGGCACAAATTTACAAAAGCGCCCCATAAGGCTGGTGGTAGGGGTGAGCTGCTGAGCTAATGAGTGGGCCTAACCGGCCGCCATTACCTCATGCACAGCACCACGTGCAAAGTGGCGGAAACCTTGAAATCTTCATGGAAAAAAAAGTTCCCGAAAACCTCTAGTCGGGTCTGGGAATGGATGTGAAGGGAGAGTGAACAATTTAAGAAATGCTGGTTCTCAGCCAGGAAACAGAAGCTCGGGGCAAATTAATTCCCAGAATGTGAAGCCTACGGTGGCTCGCCTCTGTGCCATTGTCACGGTCACTGCAAAAGCCCCGAGGAAACAGAACAAGTGATGTGTAAACTACCAGGGAGAGGCTTCAGCTGGACTGTACTTTTATCACTTTATAAATCAGTTTAGCAATTACTTTAGTCTCGTGGTTCTAGAATCGTTAACAGTCTAGACAGTCACCTCCAGCTCTCAGTCATAACATGTTTGGGGGAAACAACATACTCTAGCAAAGTCTTACGGAAAATACAAACTCTGGGGCCCCAACACAGGCCTACCGATCCAGACCTCTTGTTGGGGAGGTCTAAGGACTTGTTCTGGGGGGTTTGGGACAGGCTCTCCAGGTAACCCTGATATTCGGCGGGTTTGGGACCTGCTACCTGCAGGTGTCTTCTTGGCCACGCTGGCAAGTGTGCATGCACCTTTGGGACCCTGCAACTGCCAGTCAGGTTATGATGTCCCAGAACCTCCATTAACCATGAGCCCTGGGACTGGGGGACAAGGGACTGGACAGAGGGGCCTGGCACTCAGCAAGTCTACCCACTGAGGCGCCCACCCAAGGCAGTGTGTGGGGAAGGGTCAGCGGGTGGGAGGGCCAGCCTGGGGCCAGCTGTCTAGGATATGAGGATCCTGCTACCACAGCTACGTCCAGGAACGTAAAGCCAGGTGACAACAGCTAGGTGGAGCCAGGAAGCAGAGTCACCTATCAGCTCTGGGCAGTGACTGAGCTCCAGGCCAGGAACCTGCAGGTCTGTGCATGCAGCCAAGGTAAGTGCTCCGGGCCCTCGATGGCAACCCCAGCCCTGCAGCACTAGGACCAGAACCAAGGAAAAGGGGACACAGGAGCACAGACAAGTAGTGGGGGGGTGCCCTGAGCAGGAAAGCCAGCCGTGGAGCCCAAGGGGTGTCCCCTGCTCCTGTTGGTCCAGCTCACTCACCTGCTGGACACCTCGTACTCCTGAGGGTCCACAACACAGGGCACTCCAGCCACTCTGACAGTGTCTTGCACGTCCTGCACATGTTGGCCCAGGTTGGAGCCCCTGATGGTGACACGGGTGCCTCCGTCTATAGGTCCAGTCAGAGGTTCCACCTGTTCCAGGACAAGGACAGCTCAAGGACAGCTCACCTCCACTCACCTGTCCCCCTGGCAGCCCAGAGAGACAGCCCCAGCCTCCTACCGCTTGGCCCCCTAGACCCACAGCAGCCCCCATCCCCTCCAAGGGACGTGCCAGCGTTTCAACACACCGAGTGGATGAGGGGTGCCGGGCACTGGGAGACCACAGCCTCAGCCTTGCCACAGGCCTCCCGGGCCACACACCGTGGACGCTCCCCCTTGCACCACACACACCCATACTGGGGCATGGCGGTTTGGCAGCGGCTGCAATCCTCATGTCCCACGGAACAGTCATAGAGCACCACTGGGGATGGCAGAGACGAACATGAGAGGCAGGCCTGGAAGAGCCCCGTTGCCACCAGCCAGTACCAGCAGCCCCAGGTCGCTCACCATGCAGCCCATCCACACTGTCCACACGCAGGTGGCCGGCCCGACGCAGAAACAGCCCTACACGGAGCTCTGGCTGCAGAGCCTCATAGCTGAGCTGGAGAAATGGGAGTGGGGTCAGAGCCAGGGGCTGGGGGAGGCACCAGGCCTGGGGAGGGCATGGTCAAGAGAAAGGACCAAAATGACTCATAGAAACACAAGCCCAGAGGTCAGAGCTGGGACACAGGACCCCATGGGGTACAGGGTCAGAGGTAAGAGACTGGATGTAGGACCCCATGGGGCACAGGGTTGGAAGTCAGGGATGGGATACTTGGGATCACAGAGCACAGGCTGGGTTAAGTGTGGTGCAGCCAGCTGAGGTCAGTAGCCAGCCCGTGCCAGTGTACCCTTGCCCACCCAGGACTCATGACCTGTACCTGGTGCGTCTGACATGTGACATGGCACCGGGTGTCTGGAGGCGGCTCACACTCGACCCGGGCCTCAACCAAAACCTCGTGCCCCTCCAGCTCCATCACACACTCATTGTCTCCTGGGCTATCCTGGGTGCAGAGGACACAGCTGTGTAGGCGGCTTCAGGAGCCAGGCCTGGTGAGCCCCGCCAGGCCCCCAGCACAGTCCCTGGGTTGGGACTGAGACTTGAGGCCATGCCCTCCACCTGCTTCCCAGGGCTCATACATAATTTGCCAACAGCCAAGGAGACTACAGTGACCCTTGCAAACAGGACACACTCACCTGGAAGAGGCGGAGGTTCCTGCCCAGCAGCCGGATTTCTCGCTGCACATGGACTGGCATCAGCGTGGAGCCCTGAACGCTCTCCACACAAGGGCAGGAGCCTGCCCCCCAGTTCACCTCCTCCTGCAGGCACCAAGCATGAGGCCGTCTATGGAGCCCACCCATCCCCTCAGCCTTTTCCCAGGCAGAACCCCATTGGCCAGGCCAGCAGAAGGCGGTGGACCTCACCCTCCCCCAGATCCCTTCCCTGCAGAATCGCAATGTGGACAAGGAGCTGCATCTGCCCCAATCCCCTCCCCCGAGGCCTCCTTCCTGGGCTGGGCCTCACCAGCTCCCAGAGCCTGGGGGTGTCAGACTGGTAGTCGAGGCTGGACAGGAGGATGAGGGGGGCGGGAGGGCCCTCGTGCTCAGCCGAGTCTCCATCACCTGAGAGGAGGGTGGAAGTGGAGAAGGCGGGCGTGTCACCCCCCGTCCACTCGTCCGCCTCGGGCAGCTCGCCGCCTTCTCTCAGGAGCCAGTCCAGAGCGGGTTTCGTGGAGCCAGTGGCCCCTGGGAAAGTTGTGGCGGGAGCAGTGCCGGGGGGCTGGTCCAGGGGTACTGCAGAGGGGAGGGCCTCAGGGCCAGGCTCTGCAGGGACAGGGGGCAGTGCTGCCACATCTGAGGGCGATGGGTGGGAGGCCAAGAGGTCCTCGGATGTGGCCATGGGTCCGAGGGCCGTAGGGGCAGGGACAGCAGTTGCAGGTCCATCATGGGGGCTGGGAGAAGGGTCCTCAGAGAAGGGTGTCTCTGTGGAGGCCGAGGCAGGTGTGGGGCTGGAACCTGCCCATGGCCCCCAGGGACTGAGCAAGGAAGGCCTGGCCCCAGGGGGGACATCCGAGGCTGAGGCTGTAGAAGGAGCCCCAGGCTCCAGGGGAAGGGTGTCAGGAGCTGGGGTGACCGTGGCCTTGGGGGCTGCGGGTGGGAAGGAGGTGGGTGCATCTCTTGCAGGAGAGGCTGGGGAGAGAAGCGGGCTCTGAAGGGGGAGGCAGAGAAAGACAGGAAGGGCCACTCAGCAGGCAGGCGCGGGAGCAGGCGGCAGGCAGGCAAGGGTGTGTTAAGAGGAAAGGAGACCAAGGAGAAGAGAAACAAAAACAGCCCATTAATTCTCCGAAGGGGAATGGGAAGGGGGAGGGCAGGCTCCAGGGGCATCTGCGTTGCACAAGGCCCAGACCTCCCTGCCTCTCAGCTACAATCGTCCTATCCCGAAACAGGTGGGACGTCCACAGCCGTCCTCCAGTTAGTCCGTCACATACAGCAGCTCAGGTGCTCACAACAGAGCACACAGGGCAGACACATAGACCTTGGGCCATCAGAGGAACCCTCATGACGGGGACCCCAAACCCCCCGCGGGGCCCGGCCGGGAGTCAGGCTCACCTGTTGGCTAACCACCATGGGCCCGGCATCACACGAGGCCTTGTGTGTGCACAGATGCTGCCAGACACACCAGTTACACCCCCAGTGGCTGCTCACGCAGGCCTGGCACCTACACAGAGCACAGCCATGGGGCAGGGGTCTCCATAGGGCGGCCCAGGGCTGGGGTCGGGGTGAGGAACTCACTGTGCAGACGGCCGGAGCTCGGTGACTGCCACACAGTCATAGAAGGAGAGGGAAGCCTTGGCAATCACAACTGCACCTAATCTGAGCTCCACACTCACGGAGATGTGATCTGCAAAGCAGGAAAGCGGGCCAGGGCTGAGAAGTGGGGAGGGGCATTCAGACCCCGAGAGACCACCCACGGTGGGCTTAGCACCCCCAAATGGAAAGGGCACCCAGGATCAGGAAAGACAGTTCACTGGGTAGAAAATGGGGACTTGAGAAGACTGGGGACTAGAGGGGGAAAGAGAAAGGCATTGCTCCAGGGCCCTTTGCCTGGGTTCACACCTCTCCCAGATCACACCCTTGGAGCAAGATGGGAGGAGGGTGGGGCTCCCAGGCCCTGGGCTGGCTCCTTCTCTCACCCACCGGCTCCTCTTGGCAGCACTGGGGCCTCACTAGGGTCGGGGGAGGGGCACATCACACCAGAACTGGTCAGCAGGGCAGGACTCTGGTACTCCTCAAAGTGGCAAGAATAAGACTCCCCCAGCCCCAGGGGTGGCAGGTCAGGTACTGACAAGAAAATCTGCCAAGAGACACCAGGATACACTGTTGGAGCCACTGGGCAGCACATCAGGCTCAAGTTTATGGGCTCCCAATGTGGGCAGGCACCAGTGGCCCCAGCCCCCAAGCCTTCACAAACCTCCAGCCCGGGTTAGTAACTGATGGAGAAAGCACAGCCCCAAGATAAACGGCCTGGGCAAGGCCACTTAGTATCTGATGCATCTGACACCAAAATCCAAGGTCTCAACCCATTGCCAGAGCCCTCCCGGCCAGGGCCCCGCCTTTCTGGTCTTCACCTCCCTCCTCTCCTCTCGGCTGATGTTAGCGGGACTCAAGGCTGCTACTCGAAGACAACCCAGCTCAGGCTGGAAGCTCCACAGCCAGCGCTCTGGGCCTTGGCCCCGCGAGCACTCAGAACGGCGGCTGCACCTGGGCAAGAGTGACCAGAGTCCATCTGTGACCCTCTGGGAACCACTGGCAGCTCATGGGACAGGGACATCTACAATCTTGGGGACCTGGGTAGGATGCTCAAGGGGGTCATGACATGCCTGGCAAGTTGGGGTAAAGGACAGGAGCGAGGGTAGGGGATTGGGGGATCCGGGGGTCAGGGGTTGAGAGCCAAGGACCAGGAACCATGGATGGGCAGGAACACTGAGGGCATGAGGTTGGGGTGAGGGGTGGGGCTGGGAAAGAAGCTGGGGTCAGTGGGGCACTGACCTGCCAAGGAGCACACACCACCCACAGTATGGGTCCCTGTGGGCCAGGCAAGACTCACAGTCCAGGTGCTGAGCACAGGAGGCCACAGGAACCTTGAGAAGCTACGGCAGCAAAGAGAACTTGAGGCCAGCCAGCCAAACACCAGTGGCTCTACCACCAGGGGCTCCTCTGGCCCGCCCAAGGCCCCTCCCAGCAGCCATGCCCTGGTTGGCAACTGGCACTCACTGTGCTCTGGGTCATGACATACAGATGCTCGAAGGCCCCATCAAAGATGAGGTCTCTGCTTACTGCAGACCCCTGCTGGATGCTCTGTGTGGAGTACGGGTGGCCATCACTCCCCAGGCCCAAGTAGACCTAAGATCAGAGACCACAAGGTCTGAGGCCCAAGGCCCTCTTCCCTCATCGCAACAAAATAATTCACAGATAGAATTTCATACTAAGTAGTACAGGCGAGACCACCCAGCCCTGGGGTGGGGTTTGGGGTGTCACACATAAACACCACCCAGCCACAAAAAGAGGAGCAGAGGTCATCTCTCCCAGCCTGGAGCCCGGGTCACATCACAGATCCCACATCCCAGGCCCGGGGTCACAAGCGCAGCTCTGCCCAGTCTGGGTCCCCAGTAGCCTGTCCCCTCTAAATTCTGGGGCAGGGCCCAGTACCTCCAGTGGACTCACCCTATGCAGCTGTCCCTGACTGTCACCCAGAAAAGCAATGGTGTGTCCATCTTCCACGGTGACTGCCACAGCTGTTAGCTGAACCCCTGGCCACTCCAGAACTGGCGTGGCTTCCAAGGGGACACGGCTGGCCATGGGGCTGGGCGTGTGGTCTGAGCCACAGGGATAAGCATCCAAGGTGTCCTGCAGGCAGCAAGTAGCACAAGCAAGGCCCTCCCTGGACAACCTCCTCTGGCCCATCCTCCCTGGACAACCCCATCCACTCCCCAGCCTCTCTGCCAGCTCTCAGCTCCCCTACAGCTGCATCCTTAGGCCTGCTTATATCCAGCTGCCTCAGTCTGCAGCAGCTCCCTCCCCATTTCTTGATCCCCACCTGTCTGGGACCCATTTTTTTTCCCATCCCTGGCCTGTGCTCAGCCGTCTCCTGGACCACTTGTCCAAAGCCTCTTACAGTTTTTGCATCCACATCTCCAGGTCCACTCACCCGGGTCCCCTCCCACCTCTCACTGACTCGGTCCCCCTACATGTGACTTCTTCCCTTTTTATCCATCCTGAGGCTAGAACAAAACAAGTCTCAACCTCACCTGCTTCTCTCACTCAAGAACCTCAAACAGTAGGTTTCATCCCCCTCCCATTCTTTGTCCCTGCCCCATACCCTAGAACCTGAAATGTCCTCAGTCCACCTACACAAATACCATCCCTTCAGAGCCCAGTCCAAGCCCACCCCTGCACAGCTGGCTCCTCTGTCCCCCTAAATGCCATTCTTACCATAAGGTACCCCTCCATCACCCAGACACAAAGGAATCACTTAACATTGGTTGACCTGATCACCCTGGCAGTAAATGCCTGGCCAGTAGCCTCAGAGATGGGGAAAGACTGGGGCGGTGCTGGGACTCACCACGGGCAGCTGTGCACAGTCAGAATTGACATCATACTCGATGTAGGCCACCTCAGCCCCATCCTCAGCGCGGCCCTCCCGGGTGTAGCAGGCATCGCGTGTGCGATTAGCAAGGCGGTCCACCTCATCCAAGGGGAAGGCACAGAGGGCAGAGGCTCCAGATGCCCCGGCAGCTGCCGATGGGGGCCGGCCCACAGTGGGGGGAGCAGCTGAGGAGAAGGCTGCAAAGAGCACCTCCCCCTGGGCCACCTCCGAAGACGTGGCCACTGCTGCAGCCTGAATCAGCCCATAGCGGCCCCCCTGACAGGCCAGAGGTAGCTCCACATAGGAGTAGTAGTGCTGGTCCCGGAGGCACACGCGGGACACATAGGCACGAAAGGCTCTAGACTGAGCCTGTAGGTCCCGTCGGAGGAACAGGAAGTAGGCGCTGGCCCCACGCGCAAAGGCGCTCACAAAGTGGTGGCTGTACTCGGAGAGGCGGCCCACGGCCAGCTTGGCCGTCTCCTCGTACGAAAAGGCGGCCTGGGGGTCCACTGGCCGTAAAGCTCGAGTCGTGATGGGAGGAATGCCACCCCCCACACCCCTACTGGTATAGCCCCGCCCCACAAACAGGAGGGGCTCCCCAGCGGAGCCCTGGGCCACCAGTCCCACGGTGCTGACGGCAGGGTCATTGGCAGCCACGTACTGGGTGTCCCCAGGCCGCTCTGGCCGGAGCAGCAGCTGCCCGAGCTGCCCTAGGCGCCGCTGCTCACAGACTCCCTGGTGCACACTGCCACACACCACCAGGGCCCCCGGGCTCACCAGGAGCAGCTGGTTCAGGTTGTTGGTGGGCTGGGCCTGGGGACATTCATCAGGCATCACAGGCGGCAGACAGTCCCTGCTGTCTAGCACAGGGCCAGTGGACACAGTGGCCTCCAGCTGCAGTTCAGGGCTCAGCTGGAACAGGAAGTTGGTGGCCCCTAGGTAGAGGGTGCCTGAGGCAGGATCCCGTGCCAGGTGCTGCAGATGCGTACCATTGGGAGTGAAAGCAGCTGGTGGAGGGGGCTGGAGGGTGAGGACCCACCCGGCCCAGAGCGCCTGGAGAAGAGCTGGGCCGAGGGCAGGCATGGTCACCTGGCAGGAAGAGAGGTCGAGTGGGGCTCATGTGGCCACCTGAGCACTATGGGACCACTGGTGAGGGACAGAACTGTGACACTGTCAAGGTGCCCCTCCTAACCTGAGGCAGAGGAGCAGGGAGGACCAGGCTTAGACAACACTGTGGTTAGGATGGCCCCAGGACCACACACTAGCAACAGGTCAGGAGAGACTTTCCCAGAAATTTCAACGCTGCCCGTTTTTGGCAAGAATTACTCTCTCAGGAGATCTGCACCCCACCCCCATTACCCTGCCCTATGTCACCATGGGGTCTGAGGGTCAGGGGCTAGAAGAGCAGAAACATGGGAAACACCCCATCCCTAAGGACAAGGCCTAGAAGGGGCAGGAGAGCAGGGGATGAGAAGAAGGGACCCAGAACATCAAGAAGGGAGAGGCCCCCTGTGCACACATGTCAGTTTCCTGGGCAGAAGGGAGGGCAAGGTCCCATGGGTCACCTGCCTGTAAGAGTAGGGCAAGAATGGGATGAAAGACCTTTTAGGCCAAGAATCCAAAGAGGTAGTAACCACAAACCCAAAAGGCCAGAGAAAAGAGGGGAGTTGAAGGGGGTTAAGGCTGCTAGGGACAGGGCCTGAAAGGTTGGACCCCACCTTGCAGCGCCCTCAGCAGAGGTGGGAGTCACACTGCTCCCAGACACCTACGTGTGAGGTCAGGCTCACCTGGCAGGGCCGGCTGGATCAGGAGACAGCAGCATGACCTGTGTGAGAGTCACCTAGCCAGAGAGAGAGAGCAAAGCATGAAGCTGGGGGCTGGGCTGCAAGCCTGTGGGAGCCCTGGGCTCCCCACGTGGAGGCAGCAGAAAGGTCCCCCTCCGCGCTGCCCAGTCTGCTGGTGGAGCTGGGCCCAGCCTGGCCTTAGGCCACCAAACACATTCCACAGGGGACGTCTCCTCAGAGCCCACAGGGAGGGGGAGGGCAGCAGAACCAGGCAGCCTTGGGGCCTGGGAAAGGGCAGCTGGGAAGGAGCCCCTGGCTGGCAGGGCCCAGTCAGGCCCCCACCTTTGCCCTGTCCCCCCCGAAGTCCCTTTCTCTCCCATTCTCACCCTCTGCCCAAACTGCCTTCTCAAGGCCCCCAGGTACTCACCGTCCATGTAGGACCAGGGCTAGCTTAGCCCAAGCCACCAGCGCATAAGCAGATACGTGCTCGCACACACCAAGCACACCACCCATCCTGCATGCACAGCCCCACACACAAACACGTGGGTGCATGCACACACAGATGCATGCACATACAACCTGCACACACAACACGGAGACACATACCCAGAAACAGGGAGACACCCCACCCGGACACACTATCCAGAGACACATCCAGAGACAACCTCCTTACACACAGAAACATGCACTCCACACAGGCAGTCACACCCACCCACCAGAGAGACACACCACCAGCCACATTCAGACCCCATACAGACACACACCCACTTCCCTGGTTTGAGCCCTAAGTCCCAGAGCTGTTGTGGAAGCCAGGCCATCTCCTGCTATTTCCTCTCCTGCAGGTCAGAGTAGAGCCAGGGCTGGGGGGTGGGAGGTGGGGGTAACCCTAGAGGAAGTCACCATGCCCAGCTGTGCCCCACACCCCCAGGACCTTCCCAGACCTTAGACACCTGCTCCCCTCACAGACCCCTTTTTGCAAGCCCTCCCTGAAGCCTGTTGGGACCAGGAAACCACAGCAACACCACTTTCCCCAGCCAGAAGCACCAAGGTTGGCAAAGTGCTGGGACAGGCCGTGCATCGCAGGCTGGGAGACACTTCCCCGATGTGCCTGAGCCCAGGCCACATTGCCCAGTCCCTCCTGCCACCCAGCTGCCAGTCTGCCTATGTATAGTGTCCAGCAGGCTTCCCTGGGACCAGGTTGGCTCTTCCCATCAAGCCCCCTCCCCAGGGTGCTCCTGAGACTGCCCCAGAGTGAGCAGGGCTGGGGCTTGGAGGAGAGTCCAGCAGCCTGGTGGGAGCTGTGGAGCTGTGGCCACAGCCTGGCTGGGCACTGCTCCCAAAATAGCTTGGGGGTTTCCATTTTTAGTGTGCAGAGAACAGGGCCGCTCTATGGGAGCAGGAACAAGGCAGCCTCTGTTTGCCATGGAGGGGGCAGGAGGAGGGGGCGGCAGAGAGAATCGTGAACCCGGTGAGAAGCCCAGGACTTCAGCAAGGCCAGGCTTCCCAGAAGGCCCCCCACCTGGTTTCCAACAGATGGGGGAGAAAGTTTCCTCTTCTGGGAAGACAGGGTCTGCCTGAGGAGGGCAGAGGCCACCTCCTGCCCTCAGCTACTGCTCAGTCTCTCCAGCAATTACCCGCCAAGGGATGCGCTTGGGCAGAGGGTCTACCCCTTCATTCGCTTACAAACATTTGTTCAGCGCCGACTTCGTGCCAAAGTTCTCCAGCCCTCAAGGGGCAGCAACCAAAACACTCCCCGAATGTAAAAACACAACTGGGTGGAGTGATCCACAGGAGGAGAACGGGCAGGATCAGAACAGCTCCTGGCCAGTCCACAGAGGAGGCAAGAGGCTGCCTGCTCTGGGAAAAGCATCAGGCTTGTTTAATCACTGAAACAGGGCCGAGCAACCCTGGCCCTTCCCCACATACCATGGGTGGGAGGAGGAGGAAAAGAAGGGCAGTGACATTTTCTCCTCCTTATTGGCCACATGTATTTCGCTTAACCTCTAGCACAGGCCACAGAGTCACCCCAGCCTCTCCAGCCTACCCCTTCCCACCTCAAGGGAACTGCAAGCAGAATCAGAGTACATCCCTTCCGCCCATCTCTGAGGCACCCCAGGGCCTGAAGGATAAAGGTCAGCCCCTCCAGTCCACACTCCCATCAGATCCAGGCCAGTGCTCCCCCACAAATGCTCTTCGTTCCTGCCAGCCTGAACTGCGGGCTGTTTCACACTCCTCTGTGCCGCCACAGGGGCTGTTCCCACTGCCTGGAATGCCCACTCCCCCTCTTTCCCATTAAGCCTCCCTTGTCCTTCCAGACTCCTGAGGAGCCCACTTCGTGTGGTGGATGGGATGGACATCCCAGCCTCTACCCTGGTGTGCCTGGTAACTCCGCCTTGGGCTCTCTGAGCTTCCAATTTCCCACTTGTAGAATGGGAGGCAGGACTGCTCTGACCATTCGGGACACCAAGAGTATTCTCCCTGTTCCATGCTCCCACTTTGAAATTGAAGCTCCCTGAAGGCAGATAATGTGGGTTTCAATTCAGAAGCCCCAGTAAACCCAGGACAAACCTCAGCACAGAGCAGATGCTCCTTGCATGTTGAAAGAATCCTCATTTTACAGTCAAGGAAATATAGTCAGGGGAGATAGGGGGCCCACAAACCTCTCCAAACCACCTGGCCCCTTGAAGGACAAAGTGTCAGCCCCACTTTTATTAATGACCAAGCCAGAGCAGATTGAGAGAGCTGGTCTGGAGCCAGGCCTCTTGTCCCCAACTTACACAGCTAAGATCTTTGGCCCACTCCCCACATTTCAAGCCTAGCTCTGCCTGTGCCTAGGTCTACCCTGAGATCTCTTCTGGGCCCACCTTCCTCTGGACCTCTTCAGCAGGGCCCATGGCTGCCCAACTTCTGTCTGCAAAGAGCAAACATCTCTCCCTGCCCTCCTGAGGCTGTCTTCACCACTCAAAGGAGCTCCTAAGCTCTGTCCTTCACACCTGAAGATAGGAAATAAGGGCTGAGATAAGAACTAAGTCAAGGGGATTAGTGGGAAACTGGCCTTTTTCCTTTCCACCCCACTGCTCCGCTCCCAGGGGCCACCCAGAAGTTACTCATTGACAGCGCAGGAGCACAGTGCTTGCCCAGCTGTCCGTGCTGAGGTGGGGTGGGGAGGCCACCATTTACAGGCACCGGTGAGGACTCAAGGAGTGCTTATCAATCACCCACCGGCTGTGTACAGAGGTGGAGACTCCCCTTCTCAGGTGTGTGTGGCAGGGGGCTCACAGTCTGCCTTTGTCAGTCGCGCCGAGCGCAGCCTGGAAGGGCAGTCACTACAGAGGGAAAGCCTCGACCTCCGCACCGGCTCTTCTCCAACCCTCCTCCCTCCTCCCGGGCAAGGACCCACCAGTGGTCCTGGGAGGGCGGGGAAGAGGCTGGCCGGTCCCCGGCTGAGGCGGCGGCGAGGAGGGGGCGCGGAGGAGCAGCTCCACCTCCTCTGTCTCCCAATCGCGTTACAGGCGGAGCCGCCAGAGTTTCCCTTCGCGCGGAGAAGTGTGGTCCCAACTCTCAGGACCGAAGCCGCCCACCACTC